AAATCTTTAAAACAAAATTAATTAAAGAAAGGGAAATGGAATGTTAAGCTGAACATATTCCAGAAATAGATGAGTTGGGAAAACCGAGGGCGCCACAGGAGGCTTGGGAACAGACGCACGGTGACCCAGCTAGTCAGGCGGAGGACGTGCCCAAACCCAGAGCCACCTGACTTTACAAACAGGCTTGTTCCTCTGCCCCCTTTTCAGCTTTCCAGAGCTCCTCTCCTTGGGCTGGGCCCTCTTCAGCATCAGCCCACCGACACGCTCTGTTCCAGCCCAAGAACCTGCTCATCATCATCCCAAGATGGCCCTGAATCACCCAGGCCTGGCCCAGCCCCCATACTTCCCTACACTTGGGGGACCAGGGGAGGGTGGGTACAACTGAGGAAGGAACATCTCCCTCCGGGAGCTCACAGTCCTCTCTGCACAGGAGGCCAGCTCCAGCCCACCTCAGGGCCTTTGCACTGGCTGTTCCCTCGGCCTGGAACGCAATTCTTGAAATATGCGCACGATTCCCTCCCTCTTTCCCTTCTGACCTTTGCTCTTATATCAGCTCCTTGACGACGAGGCCTTTCTTGACACCTTGCTTTAGGACTGCAACCAACTCCCCTGCCCCAGATGCTCCCTTTCCTTGCTTTCCTTGTTTCTGTGGCATAAAAAATGCCTTTTCACTCATTTATCTTGCTTAATATCCATCAACCCCACTTGGCTGTCAGCTCCAAGAGGGTAGGCACTTCCTCAACACCTAGAACAGGGCCTGATACAAACACTTTGCTGAGTGAATGCTCAAAAGCAAGAGATAGGGTCCCTGAGAAAGTGAGTCCTCCGAAAAGCAAGTGGTTACTGGAGCTAGGGAGAATGGAGATTCTTCCAGAAGAAGAGTTACTGGCGCCAAATGCGGCGGGGGGGGGGACTGTAGAGGGTTGGACAGGTGGGCAATGCAGGAGAGGGCTTTCCCCATGGAGGCAAGAGGAGGGGTGCTGGTGGCTGGAAACCGAGCAGGAAGAGGTGGGGACATGAGGGCAGCAGGGTGCAGTCGACAGGAAAGGCAGGAGAGGGAGCAGACCCAGAACCTGTGGGGGGTGAGGAACCACGGGGAGAGTCTGACCAGGAGGGGCCTGGTCGTAAGGAAGCTGCCAGAAGGATCAGAGAAGGCGTGGGGGACAGTGCTCCAAGGGCCCAGTGGCTCCTCAGCCAGGCCCTGGGGCACCCAAGCCTGAAACTAGGGGACACTGGGCATTCAGGGGCCTCAGACTCACCTCTGTCTTCTTAAATCGTGCCCGGAGGGTCTTCATGGCCAGCGTCCCACGTTTCTCCTCAACAGAGGCCACCTGGGGAAGCACAAGGGTGGGGCAGGATGCAGCACCTGGTGAGCAGGAGGGTCAACTGCCTCCCTCTCCTCGAAAGGACCCCTTCGTCTTCCCTGGGCCATTTCAGACCCTAGAGCAGGACACAGACGCAGGACACCCCCTCTCCTATTTGCTGTGTGTCCTTTGGCAGGTCACTTGCCCTGAGTTTCACCTGCCTCATCCTTAACCTGAGGGAGAGAATCCCCTATTGACCAATGGTCAGTTTTCAGTGAAGTCCCTAGCCTAGAGCCTGGCAAACAGCAGGTGCTCAATATATGCACCTCTCCGGTGTTCCCTGTTGTGCACGCAGATAAAGCTTTCTGTGGTCTCTAAGCTTTCATCAGTGCAGTTATTTCTACATAGAATACCCTTCCTTCTCCTTCTTCTCTGGTCAACTCCTATTTACCCCTCACAGCCCCGTTCCAGAACCCGATGTTCTGATGAGCTTCGCCTGTTGTCCACAAGCTGAACTCTCAACTCCTCAAACCGGCTTCCTCCAGCCCTGCTTGGGTCCCTTCCTCTGCCCCCGCCCTGGCTTTGGAGGCTGGAAGTGTCTGGGCTGGTCTGCACAAAGGCACGTTTCTTGGATAATCAGAGAAGATCATCTGCAGCCAAGTGTCCTTCCACCAGGCGGTGTCTGTGTGACAGAGAGCACGGAGGCCAGTCACCCAAGGTGAGAGGTCGGGGGCGATGGCTGTGTACATGTATAGGCACCTGTCCGCCTATCCATGCCTGCCTGGGCCCCTTACGCGTTCTTCCCGTGTACGGGGCTGGAGGGCAGACGCATCTCAAGGTGGGTGGCCAGGGATTCCTCCCCACTAGGAGTCGGATTTCTATGGAGGCCTGTCCATCACCTGTCCAACCTGCCTGAGATTCTCGAAGCCATTCTTCCGTCTGTCTACTCACCCATCCATTCCCCAGTGCATCCATCCTCCTACCTGAGCGTTTGTACAGACACCCGCTGGCTACCAGCCACCAACTCACCTTCCCATGACCCTTTAATCATACTTCATCCACCACCCACCTATCATCCATCTATGCACCCACTTACATATTGGACACCCATCCAGCCAGCCATCCACCTAGCCACCCACCCAACACCCACCCATCCATCCACCTAGCCACCCACCTACCTACACATCCAACACCCATCTACCTATCCAACCATCCATCCACTTACCCACCCATCTATCCACGTGCCCATCTACCTACACATCCAACATGCACCCACCCACACATTCAACACCCACCTATCCATCCACGTACTCACCCACCTACGTATCCAACATGCACCCACCCACTCATCAACCTAGCCACCTACCTACACATCCAACACCAACACATCCATCCATCTACACACCCACCCACCTATCTACACACCCAACACCCACCCATCCACTCACTCCACGGCGCAGTCATCCATTCACCCTTCCATCTACCCACCCTTCTATCTACTGACCACTCATTCATCCACCCACCCCTCCACCAATCAGCATACCCATCCACTCAGCACTCACCCTACTCTTTTTCTTCTACCTCTGTCTCAATCACACCCAGAGCAGGGTGTAATAAGACACCCAAGAGTCCACAGGTTGCCAGGACAGGAGAGAACCATGGGCTTGGGGGGACGGGAGTAGCTTCCCGGAAGAGGTGATGGTATATAAAGCAGGACCCGATGGCCAGGCAGGATGCTGAGAGGGACAGTGGCAGTTAAAGAGGGTATGTACCCTAGACAGTGCAAAGGCTGGGAAGTGGGAAGTGCATGCATGAGCGTGTGCACGTGTGTGTGTGTGTGCATGCGAGGGTGCCTGGGTAGCTCCTCGCCACAGCGGGGACACATGCGGGCTTCTCCTTTCTCCCTCACACCAGGGCTCAGAGGCAAGGGGCTGAGGTCCTAAGGGGCGCCCCATCCCAGGCTTCCCTCACTTCCTCCTCTCCTACCTCCTGCGACTCCAGTGACTCTAGCACCAGCCTCCGTGCTCACTGCCGGCTCCAATTACCTGCTCCCGGCTGGGCCACCCGCTCACACCAGCAGCTCCAAGTGCTCAGCTCAGACACCCGATCGGCTCTGAGAAGGCAGCTGCCCCAGGGGGCCGGGGATGAGCAGAGGGAGGAGACAGGCTGGCTGCGGGGCTGCCTGCTGGCCAACGAGCTCTTCCGCCACCCTCTACCTCCCTTCCAGGCCTTTGCACTTGCTGCTTCTCCACCAGGAATGCCCCTTCTCTGCCCCACGTTACTCCCAACCCGCTCGCTCTCCCCATCTCATTCCTACTCACACTTCGGATCTTTGCTGCAACACCCCCTCCTCCAGGAAGCCTTCCCAGGTGCACCCAGGCTGGGTCAGGTGCCTCCTCTGAGCTCCCTGTCGCCCGGTGCCCTCATGGCACCTTAATCACACCAGAGTCACCATCTCCCGGTCACCGGTTTGTGTCCATCTCTCGCCACAAGGTGCCGCCTTTGTTCTCCAGCGACTGCCCCGCGCGTTTCTTCAACGCATCCTCGAGGCCACCAGCCCCAGTGCCCTTGAGCAGTCTCCTAGCTGCGCACCTGCCCTGCCCAGGGGAGACTGCCCCGCGCCTGGGCAGCGCTGGGCAATCCGCAGCGGCGTCCAAGGCCCCACGTTGCACACACCAGGCCCCCGCCGCACACTTGCACGAGTACCCCGCGATTGTGACTCTCATAAACTCCCGAAATGTGCAGCAGAAAGAGCCTCGACGGGAAGCACCTGGCCTCGGGGACGGCGGGGGGTGGCGTGGGGACCTCCATTTACTCATTTGCAAGAAGAGCAAAGGGGACGCGCTGGCCACTTGTGCCCCTCATTTTATTTTTTTGCAAGATTTTTTTTTTTTAATTCATTTATGAGCACAAGTAGGGAGAGGGAGGGGCGGGCTCCCAGGGGAGCAGAGCCGCACCCGCGTCCCATCCCAGGACCCGAGCCGAGGGCAGACGCCTAACTGACTGCGCCACCCAGGCGCGCCTGTGCCCCTCATCTCAGGGGTGACTGCACAAATCTCCGCGGGGTGCTCGCCGCGTCCAAGGGAGCCGGCTGCCCTCTGCCAGCAGTTGACATGGCGCCTGCGGCGACAGGCGAGGCGCATGCGCCTTGGAGGGAGCGGCCCGGCGAGCGCCGTGGAACGCGGCTCCGCCCCCATCCCGCCCCATTTCCGGCGGAAGCGGCCTCAACAAGAGAAACTTTATTGTTCCCGTTGGGGCGGCGAGGATGTCGGTGAATTACGCGGCGGGACTGTCGCCGTACGCGGACAAGGGCAAGTGCGGCCTCCCGGAGGTGAGCGGGGCCCGGCGCCCGGCAGGCCGCCCGCAGCGCCGCGGGCTGGGCGGGGCCGGACGGCAGCGGGGCATTGTGGGAACATCGGGAGGCACCGAGGCTAGACAATGGGAGGGACTTCCCAGGGAGGAGGGGGCGGGAAGTGACGCCCCCTGCGCTCCCGGGGACCCGGACGCCCCCAGCCCCGGGTGGGCCGAGCGGGTGACCGGGGAAGCCCGGGCGCAGCTGCAGGGAGGGCGAGGCGAGGAGGGGAATAGACACCCTCGGAGCCCGGGTTAGGCCGGAGAGGAGCCCAGGGGCGGGAGCGCGGGGGCGCACGTGCCAGGCGGTGGAGGAGGGTTTGGGGCTGCAGGGACGGGCTCAGGTGGCACAAGGACCCCTCCGCCTCTGCCGGACGTGGGGGGACTCCCTGCCCCTCTGGGCCCCCCCCGTAGGCGGGGTCGGGGTGGGGGTCGCCCCATCCGCTGCGGGCGGGGCTGTGCCGCCTGCGTGAGCGGTTCGTGCAGCCCGAGCCCTCAGCCCCGTCCCCAGCCCCTGTCTCCTCCGCTTCCAGTCGCCTGAGCCCACAGACACTGAGCACCTGCTGTGCACCAGCCAGGTGCTTGCTAGGCCCTGGGGCCACAGTGGGGCACAGGGCATCCCAAACCCCCTCATTCTGGCAGGAAGACGCCCGAGGAGCAAGTAAATATAAGAAAGTAGATGGTGGAGAAAAGGAAGGCCGGGAGCGGTGGTGAGAGCCGGGGCTGCACTGAAGCCAGAGCCCAGCAGGCATCGTTTACATGACTTTTGGGTTTTCTTTCTTTCTTTTTTTTTTATTATTTGTGGCAAAATGTACCACCTTAACCATCTTTAAGTACACAGTTCAGTGGCATAGAACACGCTCATGCTGTTGTGCGACCACCCCCAGCACTGTCTGCAGAATCTTCCATCTCCCCACACGGAGACCCTGTCCCCAGGAAGCACTGACCCCCTTCCCCCCGCCCCACCCCTGGCTCCCACCACCTCCTCTGTCTCTGTGGACGGGACTCCTCTGGGGACCTCCTGGGAGTGGGGTCCTGCAGGAGGCGTCCTTCTGGGTCTGGGTCCCCTCCCTGAGCCCGGCGTCCTCGGGGTCCGTCCACGCGGGGGCAGGTGTCGGGGTCCCTTCCTTTCTAGGGCTGGATCATATTCCGGACATGGATGGACCGCATTGTGTTTATCTTTTCATCCATCGATGGATGCTTGTGTTGATTCCCCATTTTAGCGATTGTGAATGGTGCTTCTGTGAACATTGGGTGTGCAAACGAGGGGACTTTTGAGCTGAGACCTAAAGGGGGTCAGGGAGGAGCCATGTACAGCCCATGCACAGGTCCTGAGGCAGGATCAGGCCTAGGCCTGGTGTGTTGGAGGTACGGTGAGGAGGCATGGGTGGCTGTAGCAGAGCGGGCGAGGGGGAGAGGGGGACAGGATGGGGCGGGTGTGCAGGGCCTTGGGGGCCACTGGGAAGGCTTAGGCTTTCACTCTGAGGGAGCCCCGGCGGGCTGTGGGCAGAGGGGGGACCTGAGGACCAGCTGCCTTTTCCAGTGAGTTCTCTCCTCTGGACAAGGCGGGGCTTCCCCCGCCTGTGGCTAGTGACCTTGTCCTCAGGGACACAGTTTGACCTCCCCCTTTTGCTCCATCCCCTGACAGATCTTCGACCCGCCTGAGGAGTTGGAGCGCAAGGTGTGGGAGCTGGCACAGCTGGTCTGGCAGTCCTCCAACGTGGTGTTCCACACAGGTGCTGGCATCAGCACCGCCTCGGGCATCCCAGACTTCAGGTCTGTGGGCGTGGAGGGGAAGCCGAGGCAGGGCCTGCCACACAGCCAGCAGCTCCCTGTCAGCTCACAGAGGCTTGGGCATCAGAACCCCTCCTGCCACCTTCCCCCTGGGGGTGTTGAGCTTGGGGAAGACCCTGCCCTTGCAGACATGTCCCTTTAAGGCATGCTCAACCTTCTGCTCACATCCAGGTCCAGGACCTGGTCACCTGGCCATACCTAGCTGCAAGGGATTCTGGGGAATGTAGTCTTTGTTTTTTGGGTTTTTCTTAAAGAATTTATTTATTCATGAGAGACAGAGAGAGAGAGAGAGAGAGGGAGGCAGAGACACAGGCAGAGGGAGAAGCAGGCTCCCTGCAGGGAGCCGATGCGGGACTTGATCCCAGAACCCTGGGATCATGCCCTGGGCCAAAGGCAGGAACTAAACTGCTGAGCCACCCAGGGATCCCCAGAATGTAGTCTTTTGCCTGGGCTCATCACACATGCCTAAATATTGGGTTTGTTTGTTTGTTTGTTTGTTTGTTTCTTTCTTTCTTTCTTTCTTTCTTTCTTTCTTTAATATTTTATTTATTCTTGAGAGACACAGAAGGAGAGAGGCAGAGACACAGGCAGAGGGAGAAACAGGCTCCATACAGGGAGTCCGATGTGGGACTCGATCCTGGAACTCCAAGATCATGCCCTGAGCCAAAAGCAGTCGCTCAACTGCTGAGACACCCAGGTGTCCCTTTTTTTGGCGGGGGGGGGGGGGGGTGATTCTATTACATCAGACGATGGGAAGGTCAGGAGCAGTTAGCTCCATGCTCACTTGCAAATATTTTTCTGTCAGACCTGGTGTCAGGCAAGTGGCTTTAACCATCAAGCCCTCAGCCTCCTCACCTATTAACAAGGGCGTGGAACCAGACAGTGTCTAGACTCCTTCCTGCTTCAGGCATCCTGTTGTTAGACAAGAACCTTGCTGAAGTGTAAGGGTCTCAACCTGGCACCCCGCCCCAGGGACCCCAGTAGGGGCTGAGTTTGCAACCCTGCCCCCTAGAGTAGGCCTATCGCATTCATACTCCCTCCCTAGGCCTCAGCCCAGACTTGCAGCAGGAGAGCAGATTCCTGGTTCTGGGAGGAATGTGAGACTTCTAAGGCGTGACTCCCCCCCACCCCTCCTCCCTAATCTGCCCGTGGCTCCCCACTGCCACACAGGAGAGTCCCAGGTACTTCAGGCTGGAAATCCAAGCCCTTCCTGACCCCACCTCGGGACATCTCTCCAGCCTCAGCCCCTGTTGCTCCTACTGAGGCCCCCAGACCCCTTGCACATCCCCAAGCTCACAGGCTGTCACCAGCCCCCTCGGCCTTTGCTTACCCCTTCTGCTCTGCCCTATCCTCGCACAGTTGAAGAGACAGCTCAGCCTCCTCCAGGAAGCCTTCCCAGGCCCCCATGCATAGCCCCCCCCACCTCCACTGGGCTCCTCCAGCCCCACAGCTGCAGAGTCTGTGGCCACTTGTGTCTCCTCCTCTCACAGGATGGAGGGCTCCTCAAGGGCAGGGCCCGGGTCTGCTAGGACCCCAGCATCACCCAGTGCAGGGCCAGGCTCAGTGCAGCAGCAGGAAATATGGATTGGAATGAATAATTTTTTGCCCCGCATTCTACCCCCAGCCCCCCTTCTCTTTTCTTTCCTCTTTGTCTCCAAGATTCTCTGTCTCTAATGCCCTGTCTCTTTCTCTCTACCCCGGTCTCCTTGAATCCTAAACTCTCCGTGTCTCTCCCCACTTGCCGCCTTCAGGGGCCCCCATGGCGTCTGGACAATGGAGGAGCGGGGCCTGGCCCCCAAATTCGACACCACCTTTGAGAGCGCGCGGCCCACGCAGACCCACATGGCACTGGTGCAGCTGGAGCGCGTGGGCCTCCTCCGCTTCCTGGTCAGCCAGAATGTGGACGGGCTGCACGTGCGCTCCGGTTTCCCCAGGTAACACCCGGCTCCCGGGCTGGCTCGGCCTGGGGCAGGCCACCCCTCCCTCTCTCTGGGCCTCAGTCTCCTCATCTGTAAAATAAACGTTGATGCTGGCCCCTTGCTCGTGAGGCCGACATGGCAATGGAGTGAGGCAGCAGGGAAAAGCACTTGGCACTCAGTAGGACTCCCTATTGTGTGTTGTCGCTGCCTCCTGGGCATATCTGGAGAACTGGGGTCCCTGTTTCTGGTCCCGGGGTGATTCCAGCCCGGACCGCTCTGGACCTCTGTTGTCCTACAGCACAGCCTTCAGCTGCCAGCACAATAGCCCAGCCACAGGGCGCTTTAAAATCTCCCTTGGGGTGAGGCCGAGAGGGAATTGGGTGCGGGAGAAAGGGTGCTCACAGTTTAGAACTTGTTGTTGGGTTTTTTTTTTTTTTTTTTTTTTTTAATTTATGACAGTCACATAGAGAGAGAGGCAGAGACACAGGCAGAGGGAGAAGCAGGCTCCATGCACCGGGAGCCTGACGTGGGATTCGATCCTGGGTCTCCAGGATCGCGCCCTGGGCCAAAGACCGGCGCTAAACCACTGCGCCACCCAGGGATCCCTGTTGTTGGGTTTTAACATTCCCCTTTGTCACTCGTATAGTGAATGTGAGCACTGTGTTAGGCCTGGCCGGGTATCCCCTTGGGGTACAGGCGAGAGCCGGGTCAGCTGTTGACATGAGCGGGCGACACTTGGTAGGCGAGGGTCCAGGAAAAAAGACTTTTCTCTGCTTATACAGGTGAATGAGGCCCCTGTCCACTCCTCTTTTGAAGTGGGCCTGAGTCCCACCGTGGAGGAATAAGCACTAATTGCCCAGCACCCACTGTGCGCAGACAGGAGCAAAGTGGATCACACCCAACAACTACCCCGGGCCCACTGCAGGCCACACACTGTTCTAGACACAGGACACTGGGTGCACAAGACAGTAGGTCGCCCTCCTGGGGCTCATGCTCCAGTGGGGAGGAAACAGAAGACAAATGAGCAAATCAAAATCTGTGTCAGGCGGTAATCACTGTTGTGGAACAAATGGGGAAGGTGGGGCAGGAGTTGCAGGTCAGGGAGGCTGACATTTGAGTGGGGACGTGAAGGAGGTGACGGAGCCAGGAGAAGAGCCTTCCAGGCCTGGTCGTTGTTCTCTCAAAAATCCCAAAAGTTAGGCTCTGTTGTCCCATTTCACAGATGGGGGCATGAGGCAAGAGAGGTAAAGTGACCTGCACAAGGTCACACAGCCACAGAGCCGGGAGTTGATTCCACGTTCCTCTGCCCCCCTGGGCCACCCATCGCCTCAGGTTCCTCTTTTGCAAACCAGGGATTACAATTCCTGTCCTTTCGACCTGGTGACATTCGGAGGTTCCAACACGATTGTGGATGGATTTTGTGAACGGACCAGGCTGCCTGTGTACGAAGGTGGGGTCAGCTGTGAGGGTTAATGATTCCTCAGGCTCAGGGAGGCTGGGTCATCTGCGTAAGGCTGTATGTGAGGATGATGGAGTCAGCAGCCAGAGGCGCTGGACCGAGTCCATTGATCTATGGTTGAGGGCTTAGGGAAGGCTTCCTGGAGGAGGAGGGCTTAGTGCTCAGCCCGAAGCCTCAGGAGTCAGAACCCCGTGCCATAGCCAAGTGTCTCCCTTCTCCTCCCACAGGGACAAGCTGGCGGAGCTCCACGGAAACATGTTCGTAGAGGAATGTGTCAAGTGTAAGACGTGAGTGCCGTGGGAGGGTGGGGGCGGGGGCGCCAGGTGTGGGCAGCGAGGTGGGGGACAATTCAACCCATGGCAGAGTGTGACAGGAGTGTGTCCGCCCACTCTGGGAAGGCTGAGCCAGAGCCCTTCATGGAGCTGGTGCGCTCTGGGGGGGGTCTCCTCCTGCTGGCTGAGCGGCCGCACAGGTGGGGCCCCCCCAATTCAAAAACAAATTTGTCCCAAAACAAAATTTTGTCCCCAAATTTATTTTGAAAAAATTTCAGATCTATAGAAAACTCACAAGAATTGTATCATGAACTCATACTTTGCCTAGACCAGGGCTCAGCAGGTTATTTCTGGAAAGGGTCAGAGGGTCAAACATTTCCAGCTTTGTGGCCCAGACGGTCTCTGTTAGGACTACAAGCTCTGCTGCTGTGGCGTGAGAGGCGCGTAGACCACACATGGAGGAATGGGCTTGGCTGTGTGCAAATAAAACTTTATTCATGAAAACAGGAGGCCGAGGGCCAGGTTTGATCCATAGTTCGCTGATCCCGACATAGGTTTGACAGCTGTGTTACTCTTTTGCCGCATTTTGTCAGTACTTGCTGGGCTGTTGAGGAGTAAGTGGCGGACCCCTCGTGTCCACCGCCCCTGACCTGCAGGACACGTACCTCCCAGGAGCTCCGCTCTTCCTCGGCCACAGCCAGTCGTGCAGGCCGGGACGCGGAAGGCAATGTAGACAATCAGGCCGTGACCTGGGTTCCCAGTGCTCCTGTGGCTTGTTTCTGTCCTGGTCTGAGATCCGGCCTAGGATCCAGTCTCCAGTCTCCTTTGCTGGAACACTTCCCAACCTTTCTGCTTCCGCGGCATTGGTGTCAGGGGTGCAGCCAGGCCAGCTGCGCTGTGGAAGCCCCCCCTTTCCCTGCTCTGGGTTTGTGGCATGTTTCCTCACGCTTAGATTCTGGTCGTGCAGAACAGGGAAGGGCGAGAGCAGCCTCGCTCAGGCTGCAGGGCAGGAACCCCGGGAGCAGTGGTGGGCTGACCCGGCCCCGCTGGCCCCCCTCCTCCCCCAACACAGGCAGTACGTCCGGGACACCGTAGTGGGCAGCATGGGCCTCAGGGCCACAGGCCGGCTCTGCACTGTGGCCAAGGCGAGGGGGCTGCGGGCCTGCAGGTGAGTGACCTCTCGCGGCGCCTGGACTCCGGGGGAGGGTGCACGTCTCTGTGCTGATCCCCGCCCTCCGCTGCAGGGGGGAGCTGAGGGATACCATCCTGGACTGGGAGGATGCCCTGCCTGACCGGGACCTCACTCTTGCTGACGAGGCCAGCAGGTCTGACCCTCGGATGAGCCCGGATGGGGTGGGGGGGTTCTCTGTGGAAGTGCAGGTGGTGCCAGCCCAGGGCCGTCAGGAAGGGCTTCCGGGGAGAGTGGGCTGCGCCTTCTCTGGGCCTCACTGGCTTATTAATAACAGCAGCTACTCACACACTCTGCCCCGTGCCTGTGTTGCAGGCAGGGAAACTGAGGCCTCAGCACGTGGACTCCTCTGTCCAGTGCTACCCAGCCCAGAAGTGGCTGAGCCAGGTTAGAACCTGAGCCCCAAGTGTTGAAGGTCCTGCCCCCATCAACGACCCTGCTTCTGCCAACAGGGTGGGGAGGTGGCTGGGGCAGAAGGGCAGCGGCCAGAGCAGGACCCAGGGCAGCCTGAAAGCTGGCACAGGCTGTGGGCGGTCCCTGGGAGCAGAGGTGGGTGTGGAAAGAGCTGGCCTCCCAGGGCTGGGCGTGTTGCAGGAGCACGGGGTGGGGTGGGGGGGCAGAGGGCCTTGAGCCCCAGGGGTCAGAGGGCACCAGACCCAGGCACAAGGGTCGAAGGGGCTCGATCTGACTCTGCCGTCCGTCCCAGGAACGCAGACCTGTCCATCACGCTGGGCACCTCCCTGCAAATCCGGCCCAGCGGGAACCTGCCACTCGCCACTAAGCGCCGAGGAGGCCGACTGGTCATTGTCAACCTTCAACCCACGAAGCACGTACGTCCTGGGCCCACCCTGACGTGCTCCCTGCCCCCGCCTCCCTCCCCTCCAGGCCTCTGCCCAAGCCCACCTGTCTTTGCCCCCACAGGACCGCCATGCTGACCTGCGCATCCACGGCTATGTGGATGAGGTCATGACCAGGCTCATGAAGCACCTGGGCCTGGAGATCCCTGCCTGGGACGGTCCCCGCGTGCTGGAGAGAGCGCTGCCACCCCTGCCCCGCCCGCCCGCACCCAAGCCCGAACCTGAGCCCAAGGAGGAGGCGCCCACCCAGCTCAATGGCCCAGCACCCGCCAGTCCCAAGCAGGAGTCCTCCACGGAGCCCTGCACCCAGCACAATGGCTCTGGGCCCGGCAGCCCCAAGAGGGAGCAGCTGGACAGTCCTGTACCACACAGGCCCCCCAAAAGGGTGAAGGCCGAGGTGGCCCCCAGCTGACCAGGGGGCCCGGGGAGGGTGGGGCTTTTTGTAGAAACCGTGGATTCATCTTTTCTTATTTGTCTCACTTTGTTACTCGTACCTGCCCTTGAGGGTGGGAGAGGGTGACCTCAGGGTGCTGATTGCTGGGCTCCAGGCCCCGGGGCAGGCTCACTCTCCACTGCCTCTCTCTTTAGCTCTAGGGGCCTCTGGTGTGGGCCTGGGGAGGAGCGTTTTCACCCTGGAAGCTGACCTTGGACCTGACACCCCAGGCACCTGCTCCTCCCCGTGCCCCAGTCCCTGACTCAGGGTGTTCTGGGGAGGTGTGGCCAGGCCCTCCCTAGTTTCCAGCCTAAACAGGAGTTGACGTTCTCTGCCCCCGGGCTCTCACACTCCCCAGCCTCTGCCTCCCCCAAATCGCCTTCACAGTCCCTCTAGGAGGCAAGCTGGGGCAGAGCCACCATTACGAAGCCAGACTTCGTGTGGCACAGACAGTAGGGGTTTGCACTGCCTTTGGAACTAGAGGGAGAAACAGGTGTGTCCACCTGCCTTCCTCCAGACTTCCAGAGAAGTCTCAATGCAATAAAAGCAGAGATTCTTGCATCTGAGTCTGTGTTTGACACTCGTAACCTTGTGGAGGAGGGGGCTGGAGGGGCCACGGAGCCAGAACGCATGGTCCCCTTGCCCCTTATGGAGTCTGTGGGCCTCCGTGCAGTCAGGGCTGGGGGCGGCGGCGGAGGGCATTTCCCCAGCCACGTGGTTTCTACATATTGCCCTCCACTCCCGGGCTGTGAGCTCCTCGAGGGGAGAGGCCATGGCCTTTGGTCTGGTTCACAGCCCCATGCACCTGCACCGGCGCAGAGCAGGTGGGGAGTCACCACGCATTCGGAGAGTGCAGGCACAGCCGGTTCCAGCCGGGCCCTTCACCTCCATCGTGCCTCAGTCTCCTCATCGGTAAGACATCGGTGGGCCGTGCAGCCCCCCAGGAGGGCAGGTCCCCAGACCTTCCGCGGACACACACCTGCCGTCCCGCGGGCCCTGCGTTGCTCGCGGCCGCTCTCCAAGGTGCTGAAGGCTCTCCCGCCGCTTGGGAGAGGAGAGGCCGGGCCCTGGACTGTGCCTCAGCCCCCACCCTCCCCCGCTTCGCGCCGGCCGTGTTCTGCCAAAATACTTTACTAAGGATCTCTACAATCTTAGAAAAGAGGGGTGGCCGTGGGCCATGGTTCCGGGGTCAGGGTCCCCGCAGACTCCGCGGGTTTCTCTTCCCTGTGTGCAGGCGCAGGGAGGAGTCCCGGGGCAGGCGAGCTGCGGGGGCGCGGGGTGTGTGTGCGTGTGTCCGCCTGGCCTCCGCCTGGGTCTGTGTATTTCTCAGGCTTTGTGGCCCTGTGGCCGCCCCGTGTCTGAGCGTGTTCTGTGCGTCTCTGGGTCCGTGAGTGTACAGTTTGTGCGTCTGCATCCCGGCTCCTCCGCCAGGTCTCACCTCTCACCCCCTTGCCCGTCGCTGTCCACACAAGGGCCTCTCAGCCCAGGGGCCGGGGGGCGGGGGGCACGTCCCGATGCTGCTCACAGCTCCTCCCCCGCTGCCTCCAATCCCACCCGCCCAGAGCTGAGCGTTGGCTCAGGCGCAGTCCAGCCCAGCAAGGTGGCTGGCGGGTTCAGCTTCTCCGAGTCGTTGCCCAGGATGAGTGTCGCATTGTCTGGGACGAGAGTCGTGTTGTCCGGGATGAGTGTCGAGTTGCGCAGAGTGAGCGTCGAGTTGTCCGAGATCGGGGTCGAGTTGTCCAGCCCCTTCGTCCAGTTGTCCAGAGCCGACGTGCCTCGAGATTCCCAGTCTGCCACGGGGCTGTCGGGAGACCCTTCCTGGGGTGTGCCACCCTTGGGCCGTGGTCCTGGGGCCTCGGAGCCGGGTATGGCGTCGGGGGCCACACGAGATGCAGCGTCGTTGTGCAAAGTTCTGGAGAAAACTGAGCAGGGGTTGGGAGGATCGTGAGGGATGGGGTGGGGGACCGGTGTCCCTCCGTTCTCTAGCCCCAGCATCACGGTGTAGTGACAAGGGGGTCCCCTCCCCATCCCCCAGACGCCCTTTGGGGAAACAAGGGAACAGTGTGCATGGTGTAGCCCAGAGGGGTTTGGAGGGCAGAGCGTCCCTAGCCCGCCTACCTCGAACAGGCGCGTAGTCTCCAGCGTGCTCGGCTTTGTTGGCGACGAAAGGGCTAATGGAGGGCAGGACGATGAGGGCAAAGGAGAACAGCAGGACCTGGCAGAGATGGGGGAGGTCACCCCATCCCTCCCCCCACCCTGTGAGCAAAGAAACCGAGGCCCAGAAGACAGGATCGTGCTTAAATTGGGGCTTGGGTTATGCTCAGCTCCCCTCACAGACCACTCTGCCAAGGCCGAGGACCCCCGTTATTCTGGGGACCAGGACTTACCGCTAGGCAGGTGCCCGTCTGGGCTGACTTGCTGGTGGACTGGACCACAATGGCCTGGAGTTTCTTCAGCTGCTCCAGGAGGGACCTTAGCAGGAATGGGTGGGCCTTGGCTGAGCCCCACGGGGCCATGATCTGACTCCCATCCATTTCTGGGGTCTCCTAGCCTGGCTGGTGTCTGAATCCCATTCATCCCTCGTGGCCCCACTGGTCTTCAAAGTCCCAGACTCCCCCTCTTTGCCTCAATAAATCTCCCTGGACATCCCACCCCGGGCATCCACCCACTTCTCTGCACCCCTACCTCCCTGATCCAGGCCGCCATTCTCTCACCAAAACGGCAGCCCCAGCCTCTACTCTGCCCCCCTAAGGCCTCTCCTGCCCTCTAGGGTTCATGCTCCAAGCAGTAGGCAGACAGCACTTTTCCAATGGAAGTGGGCTTCTCTCAACCCTCCCAGGGATCCCACCTCCCTGGGGTAAAAGCCCAGGTCCTCCCCCATGGCCCCCAGGCCCTGCACAACCTGCTCCGTCCTCTCCCTCTTCCCCCTCCTCCCTCTCTCCCCCTCATCCACTCTGCTCCAGCCACACGGGCCCACATGCTGTTCCTCCATCATGCCAGACCCAGTCCTGCTCCAGGACCTTTGCACATGCCAGTTCCCTCTGTACCAAGGACGCTATTCCCTCAGGTCTTTTTGCAGCAGCTGGTTCTTTCTCATCCATCAAGGCTCAGCTCAAAAGTTGCCTTATCTGACCTCCCTGCCCAGAATAGCCCCCACTCGTTCTCCAGTGCCTTCACCTCTTCTCAGTGACAATCAGTATTTGAAAATAATTTTTTATATAGTTTCATTTGTCTTGAGTATGTCTCCCCCTAGACCACGAGTTCCAAAAGTAGGGAGACTGTTTACTGTTGGGTTCCAGTGCCCAGAACGATGCCTGGCATGGATGAGGTGCCAAATAAATACTGAGTAGATGGCTGCATCTCTTAGAACCACATGCAGTGCTCCAGCACACGGAGTTTCCAGCCTCTGGACATTCACCTGCCATTTCCTTCACTAGAAACACCTGCCCCCACATCCGAGTGCCCTCTTCCATGCACCCTGCCCCCTTTCACTCCCTGCTCTGCCTCGCCGTCACAGAGGCTGCCCCCCACATTGTCCACCTCTCCTGCAAGGGGCCCGCTCCCCCTATCCTCTGCCACAGCTAGACCAAGACTCACAGGTTCTGCTTCTCAAGATGCAAGACTTTCCTCTGAAGCTCCTGGTTCTGGGCAGTGCAGGCCGACATCCTGCAAGGAGAATGTTACAGTGACCTTCACAATATGCCTGTGTCACCAACTGGCCCAGCTGACATCTCCCCATGAGGTCCCATTTTACAGGTGGGGAACCCGAGGCCAGAGACGGGGAGTCATTCATCGAAAACCACCCAGCAAGTCTGCGGACAGGGTCAGCATTTGAACCCAGGTCTGCCTGGCTCCTAGATCCCATCTCTGCATGGATGTGGGGGCTTCACTCCAGCCAGTGCCCCCAGGACTGGGAATGGGACGTCAAACTTGGGCAGGGATCCTTCCAGAAGACCAAGTAGTTGGATGACTGGGAGTCGGAGGAGAACCAGGTTACAATCCTCACCCTCCCCGTGAGCTCACGCCACTCTACTCTCTGCCTTAAGTCCCCTCACCTGTAAAATGGGACAATTACCTAGTTCAGAGTGTTTGGGAAAACGACATGAAACAAAGATTCGCAGATTGCATCTGAGGAACATGCTGACGGAGATCCGTCCACCTAGGGATCCCAGATCCAAGTGGGGGCCCCACCTTTCCCACCTGCAGCCATCTGTGAGCACGTCTTGGCCCAGACCACTCAGATGTGGAACCGAAGCACTCAAATCCCAGCGTGCAGGTCTTCATGTCGTATCCAGGAGAAGGAATAAGCCCCCCACCCACAACTGAGAGGCCTCCTAATAACTCACAGGATAGAAAAGAATCCATGATGTGGATTAAGGAAGACCCAAGAACCCAGTGGTAATGACAATGGTGCAAATCACAGTGCGTGCACGAGGGGCAGCTAACGGAAAGGCTGGGGCAGGGAGGCGTGGCGGGTTCAGACCTTCACCAGCCTTTATACAGCTCGACAAGCTGGACGCACACGTGTTGAAAATTAGCAAAAGGACGACAGAACAGACTCCCTCCAACATGAAGCATCAAGGAAGAACGTACCAAAGCTAAGAGCAATACGACGGATGAATCACTGAACTCTACTGCTGCAATTAGTGATACACTATATGGTAACTCATCGTATTTAAGCAGATTTTATAAAATAGTAAAGTTAAGAGCAGAAATAAAGAACTACAACACAAAAATCCGGGGGGCGGATTCTCTGGCAAGAATAATCCAATAAATAAGTCTGCGGCAAGATGAGTCAAGAAGATGAAGGAGAAACAGAAGGCACAGGTGAACAGCATGAGTTTATTAAAATGGGCATGACTGCCGGCGGCGCAGAGCTTAGCAAGATAATAAGAGACAACTACGAACCGTTTTGGGGGGTATGTTTGTAACGGACAACTTCCCAGAAATGTATGGCACCCCGAAACTGACTTGGGAAAACGTGTTACACTCCATCGAGTCAGTTCTGGTTTGGAAAGTGAGCTTGTGGGGCACCCGGGGGGCTCAGCGGTTGAGTGGTTGAACGTCTGCCTTCAGCTCAGGTCGTGACCCCGGGGTCCCAGGATCGAGTCCCGCATCCCGCATTTTTTTTTTTATTCCAAAAGCATTTAATTGAATTTCTCAATATTTTTCAAAAACAAAAAGATCCAAATCGGAGGTAAAAAGGAACATGGAAAATTCAACTCCAGTGGTGTCACGATCTCAGGGGTCATGCTCCAGGCATGGAAGAACCCAAGAAGGCACAATGCCCACCCTGGGCCCAGCCTGAACCTGCTGGCTACCACAACCTATATACCACAGCCGTGCTCTCCCCTCACACGCCTCAGAGGTGGGAGCCTGAGCAGGTAAAAGAATAGACATGACCCTGCTTTGGCCTAGGCCTGTCTGCTGGCCTTCAGTGCCTCCCCACCCCTGGGCAAGGCAGGCTTAGCTAAGGGAGGCTAGGGGTTACGAGGCCGTGCAGCATGAGGCTGAGACGCCGGGCCACTTTGCCAAGTGAGTTGTGTGGCTCTGCCTGTGTCTCTGCCTCTCTCTGTGTCTCCCATAAATAAATAAATAAAATCTTAAAAAAAAAAAAAAAAGCAACTGAGTTCGCTCCCCTGTTATGTTTCTGGTAAAGAAGAAACAGGAGCCTGTCCTCTTATATGAGTTAAGAGAGGTGATTGGAGCTAAAAAAAAAAAAAAAGAGGTGATTGGATGAAACGGGGGTTGGAGTTTTTCAGCTGAGGAAGTTCTGCCGAGAAGGACTGACCCCCCCAAACTCCCATCCCCATCCTTCCCATACACACTCTGGAGGAAGCCTTGCCAGCTGAGGACCAGGGATGCTCAGACCAGGGGAGTAAGCCCCCCACCCTCGGGCAGAGAGCCAGAACAAAACAGGTTAAATATATATTCTCCTTTCTTGGTTCTAGGAGAATAAGGGATCCCCGAGACCGAGCCTCTGTCTTCTCTAGGAATCTTTCCAACCTTGCAATTCGCATGAAAAATGACCTCTGCTCAAGAGAGTGAGGAAACCTCTATAATTTTGTAGGCCCCCCCACACTGTGACCTTAGCCACGTGGCACCCACCCGTCCCTGGACATCGGTCGCCTCCCTCACCCCAAGGGCCACATCTCAGGCCCCCAGCCTCACCGAGTTTCCAGGCCATCAATATATTCCTTCTTCTTTTTCCGGCTTTCTTGGGCCGACTGCTTGTTTCTGATTTTCCGGCGGATTTTTTTCAGCACCCGCTCCTCGTACTGCACAACGACATGGGGAGGACGGTCGGCTCGGCCGCCCGGCCCCACGCCCTTCCCGCGGGAGCCCTCCCGGCCCGCCTGGGGGAAGACTCCCGATGACTCCCTCTAAGTTCTTGCAGGGTCTCCAGGGTGGGAGGGGCTGGGCCCTGAGATTTTCCCAGATCCCAATCCCAGTTAGGAACTGGCCCGCGGACTTTGCTCACTGGTGCGCTCGCGCCACCTTCCGGCCACGCCCGGGCCGGCGGGTACCGAGGCCAAGGACTGTCCTGCCCGCCGGAACCGCAAGCCCAGGTCTGGGAGTTGAGTGAAACAGGCTTGGGGTGGGGGTGGGGGGCGGGAGGGAGGCAGGGGGCTGCCGCGAGCTGGTTGCACATGGAGGTGGGAGTACGTGGCCCACAGTCCCGGCCAGAGAAATGTTAGCAACCAATTTAAACAAAATGCAGCACAGGGACACCTGGGTGGCTCAGCGGGTGAGCGTCTGCCTTTCGCTCAGGGCGTGACCCCGGGGTCCTGGGATCGAGGTTCGCATTGGGCTCCCCACAGGGAGCCTGCTTCTCCCTCTGCCTGTGTTTCTGCCTCTCTGTGCATCTCTCATGAATAAATAAATAAAATCTTTTTTAAAAAAATGCAGCAGTGGAAGCCTGTCTGCTGCATGTACCTGGCCTCCAGGTCACCCCTTTGGGCATCTCTGGCCTGCAAGGGGCTGTGATAAAGCGTGAAGGGCACCAGGATGGCTCCCAGCACCCAAACCGCCGCTGCCTGTAAGCCCACCCTCGGCTCTGGGGTGTCAAGCCCTGCCTGCTGAGTCGGCTTTTAGGATGGATTTCCAGGGTCCAATGACAGACAGACAGATGCGCCCTAACATTGCAGCGCAGGAGACTCATGGAGGCGACGACTCAGGGGCAGGTGGCTGCAGGAAAGGGGGCCGGGCCCGGAGCCCCAGCTCACCTTGGTGAGGGGCAGCTGGGTGGGCAGGGTGATGCCTTCTTTGGCCAGAAGCTTCTTCTCGTCCTCTGTCAGCACCAGCTCCTGGCACTGCTCGGGCCCAGGTCGCAACAGGTGGGGGGCTGCCAGGTGATGCTGTTGCTGTGGGGGAAATGGGGACGTGGCGCTGGGGGCAGGGAAACCGACAGCCTCCAGGAAACGAAAAAGCGGCCCTGGATTTGAAAAACTCTTGAGTCTCTCCTGCTGTCGGGTCCCCATCGGCGCGAGGGCTCAAGAGAGCCAGCACCGCGCCCCCGAGCCGGGAGCTGATCCTACCGATGCCCTTGCACATGGACGAAACGGCGGACACGCAGGCTTTTCATCCGTTTAACAAATAGTCATGTGAAAACTGCGTAGTCAGCACCTACTACGTGCCAGGCACTGTTCTGGGCTCTGACAATTCCCTGCAGTGCCGTCTGCAATAGCAAAGGGCTGGACACAGCGGGGCTATCCGGCAATACGGGACGGATTAAATAAGGCATGACCCGGATGTGCAAGGAGGGGGGCCGCCACACAGCTGTGAAAAAGGTGGGGCCCCGTATCATGATATAAAGGAATCGGCACAAAAAACCCTCAAGTTAAAAAATAAAGCGGCAAAAACAGTGGTAAGTGTGGGATGCTACCTATTATGTCAAACCTAAAAAAAAAATAAAAGGAGAAGGAATCCCTTTGGAAGGAGTCACTGGGACCTGTGTGGGACGTGAGGTAGCTGCAGCCTTGGGAGAGGCAGATGCTCTCCCTGCTGCCTGTTTTTGCCTTTGGGACTCGGGCCTGTGTGGATGCATTTGCCTTTTTAAAAAAGTGTTTAGTTAGGGGATCCCTGCGTGGCTCAGAGGTTTAGCGCCACCTTCAGCCCAGGGTGTGATCCTGGGGTCCCGGGATCGAGTCCCACGTTGGGCTTCCTCCGTGGAGCCTGCTTCTCCCTCTGCCTCTCTCTCTCTCTGTCTCTCATGAATAAATAAATAAAATCTTTTTAAAAAAATTTTTAAGTGCTTAGTTAAATTTAAATCACGAAAGCTAAGTACTAGAAATGAAAGCACTTTGTAATCCAAGTGCCAAAGTCCTGGAGATGTCGCCCTGAGGAACAGCAGACCCCAGGACAAAGGTGTCGACGGGCGGTCTGTCGGTCTTTGGATCAGTCCCCACCACCCAGGAATGCCAGGCCATTGATCAGCCCCAGTTTCCCCATCTGTGAAGTGGGGGCACTGACCGGGTTGTCAGGCCTGGGTTATGGGCACTCGAAGCCCTTGGAAAGGCAGGTGGCCCTGGGTGGGTGTGCGACGACCCCATAGGCCAACCCAGAGATTGAGCCAGTGGCCGCTGTGTGACTTTAGGCAAATCAATGACCCTCTCTGTGCCCACTTCCTCAAGAGTAAAATTAATACAGCAGGAGCCCCAATAATTAGCATCCCTGCGAATTGAAAGGTGATCTTCCTAAAGCATTTAGGAGAATGTCTGGCCTATAGTAAGCAGACGCTTGGTCAGTTTGGGCTATTTTTTAAATTGTTATTTACTACTGCAGTGGAGAGTGCCCTACCCTGCCTGTGACTCAGTATCCCCGGGCTCTGAAGTGGAGGTACTGGGGTCCTAAGAACCGCAGCAGCCCTAATGCTCTGAGGGCTGGGGTCGGGGCTGCTCACCAGGTCTGCGCCGCTGCCGGAGAGGAGGAGGTCTTTCACCGTGAGGCTGCAGCACGGAGGCGGGCCTGCAAGCTCCCCCAGCTCCTCAGAACCGAGGCCTGAGCTCCACATTTCTGAGCAGGGCAGATGGGGACACAGACAGGGAAGCGTCAGGTTGGGGGGCAGCTGAGCTCCCGGTGTCCACCTGCCGCCTCCAGGAAGCCTGACAGGATGGCCCCCAGCCACACCGTGGTGGGGATTTGGGGCCCAGCCTGGGGTGAAGCAGACAGCCCCAAGCGGTGCCTCTGTCTTCGCTCTGATGGCAAAGGGGAAGCCGATTCACCAGGACGTTACGGAGGGACCCACCGCCCGCCCAGGAGGGAGCGGCTGTTATCGCCCAGGATTATAGGCTAGATTTCCAGCCGGCTTCGCCTTATATCCCCCTGGGGGCAGGGACAGCTCTAAGTCACCACAGGCTCCCTCCCACCTGGCACCCACAGGCAGGCTGCTCTCCGGAGCGCAGATTTTGGGGTCACACGGCTCTTGGTCCTCATCCCGCCTGGGCAGAGCTGTGTGACCTTGGTTAACCCACTAAACGTCTCTGAGCCTCAGTTTTGTCAACTCTCCAACGAGTCTAGTAAGAGCTCAAGGGACAAGGGACACCCTGCTGGTGGCCGCATGGGGGTGGGGTGGGGGTGCCTTCTGCACAAGGCTAGTTTTCCCCAGACCCAGAGGAGCGTCCGGAGGCCCAGGGTCCCGTGACCTCCCACACTTTCATGGAGCATCCAGATGTGGGAGGTTCAAAGATGAGGCTGACAGTGTGGCACCCGGGGCAGGAGCCAGCCCGCCAGGGTTGCGTCCCAGCTCAGCGGCTCTGACTCATTCCTAAACCCCACAGGGACTCGAGGTCGCCGTAGGAGGAATGGGCCCCAGCATCAATCCCAGAGGGCGGGGACGATGTGCGCCTGGAAGGAGGCCAGGGCAGCGGGCGAAGATGCGCAACCCACCCAAGTCTATGGCCACAGAGGCCTCCAGGGCTCGGGTCGCTGGTCCGGGGCCGCCGGCAAGGCAAGGGGGTCCGGGGTGGTAGGAGGCACAGAGCCCCTTGCCAGACTCCAGGGTGTGGCAGCCGGCGGGGGTGGCGGCGGCTGCACTGCGGGGAGGGGTGTCCTGGGGGTCGGAGGGCAGGTCTTCGGAGATGCCGCTGTCACTTGCTGCAGGGGACCAGATCGGAGAGCTGGGGACCGAGTCTCCAGGAGCCAGGATGGAGTTTAGGAAATCGTCAGAGTCCGGGCCTGGCAGGACCTGGTGGGAACAGAGGGGGACGGGGTGGGGGCATTAAAAGCGCTCGGCTTTGTTCTGGATGGCTGTGTGACTCCGAGCCAGCCACGGGTCCTCTCTGGGTCCCAGAAGGCTGATGCCTCCTCCTCCTGGGTTATCGGAGCCTGAACACAATCCTGTCGCATGGGTACCCCCTCCGGAGGCTTGAGCCCTGAGTTTGAGTTTGACCCCAACCCCAAACGGCTGTGTGACCCCAGGTGAGTTACGGCCCCTCTCTGGGCCGAGCCTCAGTTTCCCCATCTGTGAGAAGCAGCTGATGCCAGCTACTCCTTAGGGTGGCCGAGAGGTCCGACACGATGATGTGCTTTGATAGGACTGAGCTCTGCGAGCCCTAAATGCCACGCAAAACCCGGCGTGTGCTCACCTGGTCCCCGACGTGGTCCCAGTCCTCACCCAGCTCCACATGCCTCAGGATGCCGTCCTGCTGATCAAACAGGAGATCTAGGAGCTCCAGGCTGCCAATGGGGTCCAGGGGACCAGCGGAGGAAGCCATCTGGGGCAGGGAGGGGACAGGCATGAGGACCGCACAGCGCCCGCTCCTCCCAAATCGCACCTGCGCACCACCCAGGTCCGTCTGCGGCTTGAGCTCAACCCCCACCCCGGCCTTGGAGCCTCCATCTCCAGACTGGCCGCAGAGCTGACCCAGGCCCTCCCGGGGCCACGGCAGCCGATTTCTCTCCCAGTACTAGACAGGTGCATGCGTGGGGGTGAGCAGCCTGGCCAACTCCTACGAGGCTGATGAAACCCAGCTCCCGCCTTGCCCTCCCATCCCGCCCAACGGGGGCCCCCGCTCCCAGAGGAGAGAAGAGGGCGCCCCGGGATGGAGGCACGATTTTGGCCATTCCGTGCTCTCTCTGGGCCTCTGGGTCTTCCCACCTGTCCGATGGGGCGTGTGAGGCTCCTTCCAACCCCGCACGAGCTTCGGAGGGCTTCTGGGCCTCGACCCTCCCTCCCGCAGCACCCCGGGCAGGACTCACCTTTCCAGCTGCTAAATCCCCATTCACGAGGCCAGGCCAGCGGGCTCTGTCGGGGCGCCCTCCCGGGTGGCTGTGACACCAGGCCCCGGGGCTCTGCTCGCTCCTCTCCCAGCTCTGTCACCACCCCCAAAAGATGCTGAAATAGGCTCCGGAGCTCCCAGCCCGTCCCTGGCCGCCGATTGGGGGACAGGCGAGACGGACGGGGTTAAGGGCCAGTGACACCAGGGCAGGCTGGGGGAAGGGAGGGAAGACCGTTATCTCGATGTTTTGTGCTTTTCGAGCCAGCAGTGGGCAAAGGCCAAAGTCTGGGTGCCTCAGCTCTGCCATGACCTCTCCCCTACTTTCAGCAACTGTTTCTGTTCTGTGTCCCAGGATGTGGGGCTCCAGGAAGGTCCAGGGCCCCTGGTTGGGTCCTGTCCACTCCCGGGACAGAACAAAACCAAAACAGACGGCCCAGGCCTTTACCAAAGCCATTTCCTTGGCCAGAAGCTCCCTTCTTCCCGGAGCTGGCAACCTCCTACCCACCCTCCAAGCCCTCCGCAGCCAAACTTAAGCAGCAATCAGTTCCTTCTAGAATCTTCCATCATTCATCTATCCACCGAGTATTGATTGACCCAAACTGGCTCCCACCTCAGGGCCTTTGCACTTGCTGTTCCCCCTGCATGGAACTGCGCCCCCCTCTTCCACCCCTGACTCTCACAGTCTTTAGCCCAGAAGGCTGAGAGGTTATGTGTGACCACACACCCCCCCACCATCACCCCAGGAGCCCATCCCCAGAGCTCTGTGTGACATTGCTGTCTTCAGGAGCCCCTCACTGTTTGACATTGTCTTGTTTGTCTACCTGTGTTTTTTTTTTATTTATGATAGTCACACACACACAGAGAGAGAGAGAGAGAGAGAGGCAGAGACACAGGCAGAAGGAGAAGCAGGCTCCATGCACTGGGAGCCCAACGTGGGATTCGATCCCGGGTCTCCAGGATCGCGCCCTGGGCCAAAGGCAGGCGCCAAACCGCTGTGCCACCCAGGGATCCCCCTGTGTTTTTTTTTCCCCCGTGTTTTGTTTTTTTGTTTTTGTTTTTGTTTTTTGTTTTGTCTTTCCTGATTCCTCCCTTCCCCCGCCAGGGCCTTCCAGGCTAGAATGGAGTTTCCTGTGTTCTCTGCTGGGCCCCCAAGATCTAGGAAGTACCTGCGCACAGCGGTGCTCAATCACCCTTACCCGTCGTGCGCCTTCTCTGTGCCCACCACTGTTGTAGGCGCTATGGATAAAGCACTGAATAAGCTGGACCATAAATACATAAATAAATCAGGAAACAGATAAACAAGCAAGGGCCACCAAGAAACTGGGTGGAACCACAGTGAACGGCAACCAAGAGCTGGAAAACCCTCTTTTAAGGTGACCTTTTCTTAATTTTTTAATTAAGCTCTATACCCAACGTGGGGCTTGAACTCGCAGCCCCCAAGATCAAGAGCTACATGCTCTACCGGCTTGAGCCAGCCAGACGCCCCTTGAGAAGGTGACATTTAAGTATAGTCCTGGGGGACGCCTGGGTGGCTCAGCGGTTGAGCATCTGTCTTCGGCCCAGGGCGTGATCCTGGAGTCCTGGGATCAAGTCCCACATCGAGCTCCCTGCATGGAGCCTGCTTCTCCCTCTGCCTGGGGCTCTGCCTCTGTGTGTGTGTGTGAGAGAGATGAATAAATAAATAAAATCTTTTTTAAAAAAATAAATAAGTACAGTCCTGAATGGTGAGAAAGAGGCAGCCGTGGGGAGATCCAGGGGAAGCATGTTTCAGGCTGAAGAAACAGCACATGCAAAGGTCCTGGGGCCACAACCCGGTCTGGCATGTTGAAGGAACAGCGAGGCGGCCCGGGTGGCTGGAACAGACAGAGTGAAAGGGGAGAGAGGGAGAAGGCAGAGCAAGCAGAGGTCGGGGCACGGTGTTCAGGGCCTTGGGGGGCAGCCCTCGGCAAGGAGTTGGGCTTAAACTAAATACAGCGGGAGGCGGTTAGGAGCTTTGTGAGTGGAGGAGAACTGAACGGAGCCTCGCGTGCCGGGCACGATGCTGGGCACCAGGCTCACGGTGGTGACGGAAACACCCTCCTTGCTCTCGAGAAATTCACACCGCGCCGTTTCTCTCAATGGACCCGGCATCATTCATTCACGGAACAAACATTTGATGAGGGGCTGCTGTGTGCCCGCCGGGTGTGGCCCTTGTGTCTGACGGGGACTCACGGCAGCAGTCACGCCCCCAGGACCCCCAGACTATGTCGGGGGTTGGGGCAGGTACCGGCATGGAGGGAGGGGGGCTTGGATGCTGCTCGGGTGCCCCCGCCCCAGACACTGATCCAGTGACAGTGGGGGGGGGTCGGAGGGGGGTCACTGTCCCCTCTCACTCTCAGCCTCCCGATCTTTCTTGCTTCCTCCGTAACCAACCCCCCTGTGTTGGAGATTTTTTTAAGATTGATTGATTGATTGATTCCTGAGAGACACACAGAGAGAGGCAGAGACACAGGCAGAGGGAGAAGCAGGCTCCCTGCTGGGAGCCTGATGCAGGACTCTATCCGGGACCCAGAGGTCACGCCCTGAGCCAGAGGCAGATGCTCCACCGCTGAGCCCCCCAGCAGCCCCCCTGTGTTGGATTTTTAAGGGCTCTGTCGGCTTGGCCTTTGCCATCCCAGCCATAATATTTGTGCAGCCTTTGCTTTGGAGGCGCTTCTCTGCGGCAGGTGCCCGAGGTAGGCGAGGTCTGACTTCTGGCTTCTCCCCGCCTCCCCCTCCCTAGTGACCACCGCCCCCCACCCCCCAAGCCCGGGGGCTCCTTCACATAGAGCTCCCTCCCCTGCCAGCAGGGGCATCACTCACTCACCCTTCCCTGGAGGTTTAGACTCCGGGGTGCCTTTCCCCCAGATATTCGTATTTAAATTTTTTATGTAATTATGGACTTTAGAAGGCATTTATATGCCCCCAAGGAGAGTTATGACACAAGTCCGATAAGGATAAGCAGTGCGGGAGAGGAGGACTTTTTGATGCCCTTGGCATCACATTATCTCACTTACGGAACATGAACGCGAACTTCAAGGCAACGCTGGGCTGCAATCCAAGGCAGCATGCCCACAGTAGCTTCCGCCCCCGTGCAAGTGTGAGCACAGCACGAGAGGATGCTCTGCTCAAAGCCGCGCTGTGCTATGTTCTGGGGCGGCCGGGGCTTGCGGCGCTTCCCAAACATGATCGAGGGGGCGCGGGGTTTTGTTTTCCATCTTTGCTTGGCCCGTTCTGCACCACGACTGCCAGGCGACAATGTTTTGGATTTTTTTTTTTAAGATTTTATGTATTTATTCATGAGAGACACACAGAGAGAGGCAGGGACACAGGCAGAGGGAGAAGCAGGCTCCCTGCAGGGAGCCCGATGTGGGACTCGATCCCAGGACCCTGGGGTCACGCCCTGGGCCCAAAGCAGGCGCTCAACACTGAGCCACTCAGGCGCCCCGCCAGGTGACAATGTTAAGGGCACTCGCCAGAATGACACGCGTCTACTATATGGCTGAGCAAATTCGCTCCTGGATGTTTGCCTAGGAGGCCCGCAAATGAAACGTCCACGGAAAGACTTGTACTTGAAGGTTCAGAGCAGCTTTATCCCATCATCGCTCGGAACTGGAAACAACTCAAATATCCAAGGACAGGGGAATGGATAAATTGACTGGCTGATCCACACACCATCACGCTATCAGCCCACTGCAGGGAATAAATCAGTGATGCATGCAACCTCGTGCGTGAATCTCACAGACGTTGTGTCAGAAGACACCTGTCACAGAGGAATACGCGGCGTTAGGATTCCATTTGGTGGGATCCGGGGAACCAGCCAAGGAATCTCTGGGGATGGAGAGTGGCTGCCTGGGTAGAGCGGGGACCTGAGGGACGGGGGCACGAAGGGATGTGAAAATGTTCTAGATCTTATTGTCAGACGCTGTTATGTGAGCAACGTATAGAATTGTCGAAACTCGTCAAATTGAACACAGCGGAGGCCCGCGTAGTATCACTGTAAATGAATTCCCCCTCGATGAAAAGCGCACAAAATACCTAATTGCCTACAGAAGACACTTAGTAAAACATTAGAAACCACAAAACAGCCATCCAGAGGGGATGGGTTAACAGAGTCTGGTGTATCCCGAGCGTGGAATGTTACGTGGCTTTGAAAACGAATGGGGATTTTTTAAAAATTAGAAAAATTAAATTTAATTTAAAAAAGAAAGAAAATGAATGCAGATTATTTGTACGTATCTATATGGGGCAACATGTATTATTATTTTTTAAGTAGGCTCCACAGCCAGCGGTGGAGCCCAACAGGGGACTCGAACTCATGATTCTGGGATCAAGGCCTGAGCTGAGATCAAGAGTGAGATACTTAATGACCTGAGTGACCCAGGCGTCCCTGACTTGGGGCAATGTTAGTGTATGTGGCTCTAATGTTAGTGTTTGTCACCATTTTGATTTTTGTGCTCTTCTCTCCAATGAAATTTTTTAAAATATATTTTATTTATTCATGAGAGACACGGAGACAGAGAGAGAGAGGCAGAGACACAGGCAGAGGGAGAAGCTGGCTCCATGCAGGGAGCCCGACGCAGGACTCGATCCCAGAACCCTGGGGTCATGACCTGAGCCAAAGGCAGACACTCAACCACTGAGCCACCCAGGCGTACCCACCCAATGAAATTTTAATACCACACGTAGATTATATATCTGCTTATGTGCTCTGTGTGTATCTGTGCTTTCTACACAAGAGGAAGATCCTTTCCACCCCCTAAGAACTAGTTTTCAGGGCACCTGGGTGGCTCAGTTGGTTAAGCGTCTGCCTTTGGCTCAGGTCATGATCCCCGGGTCCTGGGATCGAGTTCCATGTTGGGCTCCCTGCTCAGCGGAGAATCTACTTCTCCCTCTCCCCCTACTTGTGCTCTTTCTCTCTGTCAAATAAATAAATATTTTTAAGGAGATTTTATTTATTTATTCATGAGAGACACTCAGAGAGAGAGACAGAGACACACACAGGCAGAGGGAGACGCAGGCTCCATGCAGGGAGCCCAATGTGGGACTCGATCCCAGGACCCCGGGATT